CAGGGAGAGCTGCCGAGCCCAGCCCAGCCCGAACCCGCCCCGCTGTGCCTTGCAGGGCGGCGATGTCCGGGTTCGACAGCTTCAACACCGAGTTCTTCCAGACCAGCTACAGCATCGAGGACCAGGCACAGCCCTACGAGTACAGCGGGAGGCCCTACAGCAAGTAACGCCCCGTGCCCTATGCCCTCTGTGCCCTGTGTGTCGTGCCCTGTGTGTCCTATGTGCCCTGTATGCTCTCTGTGTCCTGTGTGCTGTGTGTCCTGTCAGAGCCCTCCAGCCTCACAGAATCACGGAATGGTTTGGGTTGGAAAGACCTTAAAGCTCATCCATCCTACCCCTGCCCTGGGCAAGGACACTTCCCACCAGCCCAGGGTGCTCCAAGCCCCATCCAACCTGGCCTGGAACACTCCCAGGGATGGAGCAGCCACAGCTGCTCTGGGCAACCTGAACCAGTGCCTCAGTACCTCACAGGGAGGAATTCCTTCCCAGTCTCTCATCTCACCTGCCCTCTGGCAGTGTGAGGCCATTTACGATTGTCCCTCACTCCAGACCCTTGTCCAAAGTACCTCCCCAGCTCTCCTGCAGCTTCCCTTAGGAAGGTTGTTGACAGTCTTTTCAGGAGAGGTTTGGCACATCAGGCAGCAAATAAATCCTTGTTGTTCTCTTCGGTGAAGAGCTGAACTCGCAGGCTCTAACCTGAGACAGAAAGCAGTTTCATGGGGAATTCTCTGCCCTCTAGATTTCAGAGCAAGTGTTAGAAGACTGAAAGAAATGTCACATGAGTAATCTGAAATACAGGAGCAATTTGCATGTCCTTGGGAAAGGAAATGCTGTTCTTTTTCCATAATTACATAGTTTGGAGATGTTTACTGAAATCTCTGTGGTCACACTTGAGAATGATTTTCAGCCAGAAAACTGAGGAGTTTGTTTAGGACACAGGGTGGCTCTGGTTGGGCTTTATCTTAGAGGAGCTGGGTATGGGATAATCTGTTGGGACTTTTTAAGGCAGAAGGAAAGGTTTGCTGTGGTTTACTTGCTGAAGACAAGCTTTGCCTTTGCAGGAGTGTCTGAGGTGCAGCTGTGTCTGTCCTAATGTGGTGCCTTGCTTTGCAGGCAGTATGGAGGCTACGAGTACTCGCAGCAGGGAGGGTTCGTCCCCCCTGACATGATGCAGCAGCAGCCCTACACGGGGCAGATCTACCAGCCAGCACAGACCTACACTCCTGCCTCAGCACAGTCTTTTTATGGGAGCAATTTTGAGGATGAGCCTCCTCTACTAGAAGGTATGACTTTGTTATGGCCCAAATCCAGAACTCTGCCCAGTCTGGGGATGAGGTGGGAAGCAGTGTGTGGATTCCCTGCTGCTGGGATTGCTCAGGGGGTTTAAAATCCTTGTGGCTTTTGGGGTATGAAATACCTGTATGCTGATGCAGCTGGAAGCCTGTGCTGTATTGCTTCACACCAGCAGTTCCGTGGCAGATTTAATGGGCTGGAAACCGTGACCTGATAACAAAACACTAGTTCTACTGTGGCAAGTAACACCTGGTCCTGCTTACTGTTAGTAAAATCAGTAGCTGCAGTTAGTTGCAGTTGGCTCTTGGCTGGGACTGGAATCTCTCATTGCTCAAGAGGAATGCCAAACACTGCAGAAATACCTGTGTGGAATACAGCCTGTACAGAGTGCCAGAGTGGAGATTCAGTAACTGTCTGGCTTGGTGGGATCAGTTTCCAGCTTATTTCCATTATTTTTCAGTTTCAAACAGCTGAGGAAACCCTTATTGTTCCTAAGTAGAGAGACAGGTGTCTGTCACAGCTGTCACCTGTACCCAGTCATGGTACCTCCACCCTCTGGGCTCTTCTTTTGTCATTCAGGATGTTACTCAGTTCACACAGATGCTTCGCATTGCAGTGGGAGAGCCATAACTGCGTCTGACTGGGGTTGAGGCAGAGCTGTGGCCAGACTGGGTGGAGGGAGACTGGGAATCCCACCCAGCTGGAAGGAGGTGGGAAAGCCCCTGTTGCAGGACACTGAGTCTGTTGAAAGGGGTGGGAGGTTCTCAGGGGCTCAGTGGCTGATTTGTGAAAGAGAAACCCCCCAGAGATAATTGTAGAGGACCTTCTTTGGATCAGGAGTCCTCGAACCAAGCAGTGGTTGGAGGCTTGGGAAGCTCCATGGTCTGTGCTGATACTCCTTGGTGCACACTTGCTCTTGGGCACTGGGCTGAAGGAGCTTCTGAGCTGGCCCAGAACTCTGGGCTTGTGCTCTTACCTGGTCCCTCAGAAACCACCTGGTCACTTCCCAGCACCTGGGACCTGGAATGTGTGGGGGCAGCATGAGGAAGGATGGGATGGCTCAGTTCTCTGGTCCTTGTGGGATAGATCTGGAGGAGATGTAAAAGTGGAGAGGTGGGGAAAACCGAGTGGGGCAAGTGGGGGTGACAGGAAGGGGTGAAACTAATGTACTTCACTCTTGATTTTCATCCAGAACTGGGGATCAACTTTGACCACATCTGGCAGAAGACGCTGACGGTGCTGCACCCTTTGAAGGTGGCTGATGGGAGCATCATGAACGAGACAGATTTGGCTGGGCCCATGGTGTTCTGCCTGGCCTTTGGAGCCACCTTACTGCTGGTGAGACACAACAGGCTCCCTGTGCACAGGTGGTGCTGGGCACACTGGGAGAGAGCCACGTCACCCTGGGTCTGTTGGCAGCGTCTGCTGGGCATGGAGGCCAAAAGAGCACGTCCTGGCCAAGGGTTTCATGAATATCCCGAGCTGGAAGGGACCCAAAAGGCTCCTCAAAGTCCAACTCCTGGGGCTGCACAGGACAGCCAGTTGTAGCTATGTGGAAGAGGCATTGGGGCCTCACACACTGGTGGAATCAGTAGGTACTGACACACAGGTGTGACTTCAGGGTCAGGTCAGTCTGGTAAAGCACTTGAGCAGCAAATCTGCTCTCAGATTGTTTGTGCTGCTTAACAGGTCACTCCCTGGTGGTTTTTTTAGTTGGGCTTAATTGGAATCAGGTTGTGCTTTAATGACTCACAGGTGTCGGTGGTGAGGTGAGAGCAAACAGTGTTCCTTGGCCTTCAGAGCTTCAGTCTTTCAATCAGTTTTTGTCTTTAAAGGCTTTTAATTTCTGCCGAAAACTTCACATTGCTCAGCCTGTGAGAGCACATTCTGGTACCACAGGGACTTCAGGCCTACTTTAGTAAGAAACCTTTATTTATGGAAACTGGGCCAGTCCAATTAGTGAACATGTTTAGAATAGATACTTTTGGATTTTCCTAAGGAATTGCTCCTTTCTCTGTGCTTTTTATGAAACTCCATGGAGTGCAGTGCAGGGAAGTGAGCTGAGCCTGGCACAGGTCCCAGTGGGGGTCGTTGGTTCCTGGGGGGCTCGAGGCAGAGGGGAACTGGTTTGAAGTATGTTGAGTTTGGAAGTTGGTGGTGGGCACAGCCCTGGGAGCTGCAGGGCCCTGTGTCCTGCAGCTGTTGTGAGGGAACCATCCATCCTGGCCTGGGAAAAGCAGGTGGTGCCACAGGACACATGGAGGTAATCCAGGTGTGCTCTCTGCATGCTTGATAACAAGGTTTAGGCTTGACTTTTTCAAGTGGGACTTTGTTCTAATCTGCCCTGTGCTATAGATGCCTTGTGCATCTGTCCCACAGCAAAAGACTTCAGCTCTGGGTTTGGCAACAGGTTCCTCAGTCACGGAATTTTTTTTTGCCTTCACACACTAGTTCTAGAAAGATCATTATTGCAAGTAATCAGCAGTTATTAATGAAACCCTGGAGAGTTCATAGGCTGAGATCAGAGAATAGCAACCAGATCAAAATGTCCCTTGAGAGGCACAGGGTGAGGAGCAGTGTGAGTGCCTGGAGAGTGCAGGTGCCCTGGGGCTCAGGCCCGGGAGGTCCTGCCTGTGGGATGGGAGTAGGAACTGGGGTGGGGACAAGGGGAATGAAGCTATCTGTAACCACCCTTACCCCTGTGGAGTGAGGGATTCTGGTCCCTGTGCCTGTTCCAATAACTATCATCCTTCTGCTTGGCTCTCAGGCCGGGAAGATCCAGTTCGGTTACGTGTACGGGATCAGTGCCATCGGCTGCGTGGGGATGTTCTGCCTCCTGAACCTGATGAGCATGACAGGAGTCTCCTTTGGCTGTGTGGCCAGTGTGCTGGGATACTGCCTGCTTCCCATGATCCTGCTCTCCTCCTTTGCCATTGTATTTTCACTGCAGTGAGTACCTGAACTTTGTCGTTTGGCACTAGATTCCTCTCCTGAGATGGTGAAGGAAGTTCTGACAAGAAGTTGTCACATTCAGTGATGAAGCTGAATATAATCTGAGTGTGAGAGGAGTCTTTAGTGAGTGCAATAATATAATTATCATCAGTCTTCAGGTATTTGCTGGGTGAGAGGTGAGTGAGTACTGGGTTGGTCTCCGAGTCAATTAGCAGCTTTTAAATACAGACTCCAATATGAGTCTCAGGTTAGTTTTCAGCCACCTCTGAACCTGACAGACCTCAGCACCTGCAGAGTCTCAAAGGAATTACTATCTCAGATGCAAATTAGAATTTTCCAAACAGAAGAAAATGAGTTTTGTTCCTTCCTGAAATTAGGGACTGAAGGCAACAACTTGCTACAATGACTTTACTCACTGCTTTTATGTGTGGTGCACAAAGTTAATTTTGAGGGGTTTGTGCTGTTACAATTGACTAATGTTGTTCTGGAGTTTTAGAATCACAGACTAGGTTGGGTTGGAAGGACCTTAAACATCATTTAGTCCCATCCCCTGCCCTGGGCAGGGACACCTCCCACCAGCCCAGGCTGTTCCAAGCCCCATCCAACCTGGCCTGGAACACTCCCAGGGATGGAGCAGCCACAGCTTTCCTGGACAGCCTGTGCCAGTGCTTTACCAGAGCTTTTACTGGGACTGTTTCATTTAATATCAAGTATAAAAGCTACAGTTGCTCTCAGAATGTGTGAGAGATGTTGGGTGGGTCCAGCTGGTCTCCTCATGGTGTGCACACCCAAGGCTCCCCTGAATTCTCTTCTCTCTCCTTTCCAGGGGCACAATGGGGATTATTCTCGCAGCTGGAATTATTGGCTGGTGCAGCTTTTCTGCTTCCAAGATCTTTATCTCTGCCTTAGCCATGGAGGGACAGCAGCTCCTGGTGGCCTATCCCTGTGCGTTGCTGTACGGAGTCTTCGCCCTCATCTCGGTGTTCTGAGCAGACTGTCCAGCCTGGGGCTCCTGTGGGCCCGGAGGAAAACCCCAGTTTGGAGCATAGAATTGGACCAGAAACAGCTGCAAATAACTCTCTCGTGTTGGTCTCATAAAACTTAGACCTGTTTGAATCCCCCGGAACAATGGAAAAATGTCTCGTGTTCACTTTTTTAGGACTTTGAATACTGTTTTCACTGACCTGGGGTGTCCAGAGCTTTAATACCTGTCCATGCTTATCGAGTTCCTGTCATTCCTTTCCCATTCCTAGATCTTTAGAAGTACCTTTTGGTTGTTTCTTTGAGGGTCATGATTTCTGTTTGTTCCTTTTGTTTCCTAGGGCAGGAGCAGGGTCCCCCTTAAAAGTTGGTAGATTTTGGTCCAAAACACTTAGCAGAACTGCCAGGGATTTGGGGAGCTCTGGGTACATCTGCAGGAATAAGGAACCTGTTTCCTGACCCCTCTGACCAAAAGCAAAATGAACAAAAGCAATTAGAGTTATTCCCTGTGTTTTAACCAATCTCTTCCTGAGCTCTTTAGTCTCAATTATCTGTTCATTTGCTGAGTGTTTCAGGATTTAAGATACTTCAATTATGAATTAGGAAACTGAAAAGAGAAAGGGATCTGTAATCCTGTCACACTTGAAACATGACCACGTTTGGGTGTCTTGAGGAGCTTTATGTTACCTTGGGTTTCTGGAGAGAACCTGGAGAGGCCCTGGCCCTGCTGGTGCTCGCACTGGCAGGTGAGGAGGAATCTCCCTTGCAGTACTCCCAAGAAAAACACCATTTTGGAAAGTTATACTTGTCAGTATTGTAGTTACTGTAAAATAATTTAAGGCATATTGATTAAATTTTCCTTCAGTTTTGAGAGAGGTGTTTGATTTCCCTCAACGCTCTTCTTTAATGTTCAGTTACTCAAATAGCAACTTGAATATTGAAGCAAAATCCTATTCAAAACTGAATCCTGTGAGTGGACTTGGTGTTTGCTCCAGTCACAAAGAGTTAATGAGAGGTGTAACCTGTTTTGGGTGTTAATGACCAGAATTCTTACACCAGTGAGAGGGGAAAGCAACTGTTCTCCACAGGAGCACTCAGTGGCTTGTGGAGTAAGCAGCAATAGGCTACAAACATGTTTGATTATCATCAGTTAGTTAGGTGGTTAGTGATTCCTGCCCTGCCCTGGAAATGGAAAAGCTCTGGCAAAGTGCTGGATTGGAATTCCCATTTCTTCAGCAGTTTAACCTGAGGGATTTGATGCCTTTGCAGTGCCCCAGGGGTTGGTGTGGTCCCTCTGTCCTGCCCAGGGCATGGTCTGTTCAGGAGCTGCATCAGTGCTCTGCTGTGTTCTTTCTTCACCTTCTGGTGAGACTCCATGTGGGACCATCTTCCCCAGGGAAGCTTCCATCCCAGTGCTACAGGAATGGAAGGTTTTGAAGGCTCAGCACACATCTTGCTTTTCCTTCAGTTCTGTGCATTTTCCTCAGAGTATTTTCCCAGTGCCCCTGGAAGTTCCTGCCCAGGCCCTTTGCTGACCAGTGGCAGCTTCTGCCCATGTGCCTGGGAGCTGTGGGAAGTGTCCCATGAGTGTAAAGCCCTCTGAGGCACAAACCTGCTCTGACTTGCTGTCTAATGCAATGGGCTGCTGCAGTGAATTTTGGCACTCACAGCCCCACAAAAGCTTCAGTTTCCTTCCAGGAGCAAACTCAAGAGCCCAGATAACTTTCTCCTTTGACTAGTTCTTACAAATTACCATCCTGAATATAAGTGGTGAGTGGATTTTATTGAGCAAAATGTTTTCCTCTGTGGCTCTGCTGCCTCTGGGTCCTACCCTCTGCCCTGGGGCAGCAAGGTCTTACCCCTTAGAGTGAGGAACAGGATGGAGCACCATGGCCTGTGTCTGTGCAGATACATTACAGCAATTGCTAACGAGGCCTAATTAAACACACAGTTGTTTTGGTACCTAGAGAAGCTCTCGTGCTCGCTGGAGCACATCAGGCTCTTAACACTCCACTGTTGTATTTTGGGCAGCAGCTAATTCAGCTTACTCTGCATATTCCAGTGGGGCTCATTCTTGCAGCTCGCTCTGCTCCCATGGATACCTCCCAAGGTGATCACCTGGGTGTTAAACTGCCATAAATCACCTTTTCTCTCCTCACAGCACAAACAAGCCTCAGTGCACAGGAAAACATCTGAGCTGTCTTGCCTCAGTGCAGCCCTGGCAATGGAACTGCTGAGTTTGGAGAGAGCAGAGGGCACAGTCAGCAGTGGAGGATGCTGAACGTTCTACTCCAGCAGTGAGGTTTGACCTGGGAGTTTTCAGGAGTACTTTGCATTCTTCAGCTTACTGTGGAGAACTTAGCAGTTTCTAACTGCATTTCTAGGGGGTCTCTTGGGGCAGAGAGGAGAAGCACATGGAGCAGAAGGTCAAACACTTGAATTCGTGGAGGACTTGATAAAAACACAGTGTTATGTGTGGACTGGTTGTCTGAAATACCTCAAATTTCTGTTACCTGAACTAATGAGATTGGCTGTTTTATTGCCTTTGTAAAGTCAATGCCATTGACTCTCTATAATGAAGTTCTGCCCCAGCTCTTGCTTCAATTTCAGTTGCATTACACAGGATTCAGTCTCCCCACGCTGTGGCATGGCAGGCTGGGAGGCTGTGGCTCTTCATTCCACGCTGGCCTCACAGTTAGCAGGGCTTCTTTTTCCTTTCCAGAGCTGATCTCCCCATCTGTGTTCCCATCAGCATCCTCACCTGGTTCCCAGCTGAACTCCCACCTTCACCTCTTTCATCCTGCATTATCTCTTGACATTTTCATGAGACTCAGCTTACAGCACTCAAACACAAACACTGGAATTGCTATTTTAAACCCACTTTGCTTATCCTACCCAACCATGAAATCACTTGCTATCCTACAGGAGTTGAGGGTTCCCTTTCCCAGTTTGTCCATTTCCCATCCTAGTTTGTTGATAGTGTGACAGTGGCTCTGTTTTCCAGGCCACTTGTCCTGCTGCCTGCAGTGGGGTTTGGGTCCAAAGGGCTGTGAGGATCAGCAGATGACAGGGCACATCCTGCACAAAGAGCTGGTCAAAACCAGCCAGACATTCCTCCACCCTGTGCTGGGAGCAGAGTGTCCTGGCTGTGGGAGCACCAGCATCCCTCACACCTGGAACTGCCTTCTCTCCAGGACGTCAGCTAATGGGGCTGAGTGATCCAAACTGGGTCACTGGAGAGGCCATTCCCTTGGGGCTGGGACAAGGAGCTGGAATACCTTAAGGCTCAGCACTGGGACATTGTCTCTGGATAATGTGTGCATGAAGGAGCCAGCACTGGCTCTGGTGGCTGTGGTTAGGACCACACTGAGGGGTGAGGGCTGTGCCCAGGGGTGTCCCTGGCTCTGTGTCCTCACTGAGGTGCTGTGCAGTGTCTGTGCTCCATGCCATGCTGCATCCCAAGGGAAGCTGCAGGAATGGGGGAACCAGGGCTTGATGTTTCCTGCTTCTCCACTGGATGGGGCTCCAGCACAGCTGATGTGCTACAGTGAATCTCATCACAGAATCACAGAAGGAAAAGGCCTCAAAGACCATTGAGTCCAACCTGTGACCTATCACCACCTTGACAACTAGAGCACTAGGAGCCATGTCCAGTCATTCCTTGGACACCTCCAGGGATGGTGACTCCACCACCTCCCTGGGCAGCACATTCCAGTGCCTGACAGCCCTTTCCATGGGGAAATTCCTCCTGATGTCCAACCTGAACCTCCCCTGGTGCAGCTTGAGGTGTTTCCTCTTTTCCTGTCGCTGATTGCCTGGGACAAGGTACTGTTACTTTTGCAGCAATCTATTAACAGAAACTCTCGTTAGTCCTGTTTGCAGTGTTATTTCCTGATCACTTACTGCTCTCCCTTTTCCCTCAGCAAAGGCCACTTATCCCTTCACCATCCTTACCAGAGGAAGATGTGTCAAATTTTCCCTGATGGCCTCGAGTAGTGTCATCACCATTGAGAGGTTATTTAGAGAAGAAGCTGCAATAATCAGACTGGAGTATCACAAAAATAGCCCCCTGCATTTCAGCCTTCTCAATGCCTTTCAGACATACAATTTCACCACTGATATTCTGGGACTGCTTCAGTCTTTCAGTGCATGTGAAGCTGTGGCTTTGGGAGCTTTTGGGCTTTGCGGCTCATGAGAAAGTATTGAATCATTTGACTGCATTTATTTGAATAAAGCCACTGCAGTTGTACTGTCTTTAAAAGCCGAAGAAGGAAAAGGGATCTGGGAATACAATTTTATGTGGAAAAAGGTATGGATTTCAGTGAACTGGTTCCATAAAAAGAGCTTCTGCTCAGTTAGCTGCACTTGGCTGCAATGTTTGCTCTGGCCATTTTGTATTCCCCTGGAATTCTTGTCACCTAAATCCCTCTATCTAACCTAGATGTGCTTTCCTAGGATGGAAAGGTGGGCTGGATCTGGAGGTTGGGAACTCACAGGTTTGTGTGTCAGTAACAGCTTTTAGAGACACAGATGTTGTGTTCATGTGATCTCAGTGTCTTCAGTCTGAACACATTGGTGTATTCACGTGTTTGCACAGTCAGGATGACAATTGTGGCACCATGGGGTAGTTTATTTCTGTTCATGTGTTTAATGTGTAAATAACATAATCTGCTTTAAACATCAAGGTTTGTGGGGGTTGTTGTTTTACATTTGCACATATCTCCCTCTCTGCTGAGTGCAGCATCAGGATTACCTTTCCAGAATGCACATTGGCAAAAGAGAAGATAATAATTACAAATGATTGATCTGTCCAAACCCATGTCACTGGATTAATTCTTCCCTCCTTCCCACCACCATTATTTTGGAATAAATTTGTAGCTATCAAGAGAACTTCACTCGTGTACTGACAATCAGTGTGTTCTGCCTGAGCTTTAATTGAGCTTAAAAGGCCTAGTTCTGCCTCAGATCTATTCTTGGTTTGGTTTCAGCCCTGAATGTTGAGTTTAAATTTGAA